TACTTCTTAATACTCTCTTTAGATATAACCTTGATTTAATTTTAAGTACCATATAAATTAATCAGAGGTCTAAAGGACATGTTTGGAAGTATATTAAAAGTTACATTCAATGCTCAGAATTTTTTTATTGTTTTGTTTTTAATGTTCTAATGATTAAAAACACAGGAGCCCTTCAGACCCAAAAGGTCAACCATTTGGTGGACTTGGACATAGTCTCCACACATAGCAGAGTCAGTCTTTCTGTTATGCTCCCACAAGTACTGTTTATGGCAATGCAAGCAATAGCTTACCAACTCAAAATAAACTTGCATCTAAAACTTGTTATGTAATTGTAAACTAAAGAAATTATTCAAATTCAAAAAGTTTTTTTTCACCTACACTCGAACTGATATTTCCACTTATTTTACAGATTAAAAAATCTTTTCTATGTCCTTCACATTAATTTTGCACTGATGTTCCTCTTCTAAAGCCTGTTGACACTTTATTGATTCAAAGCAGAATTAAAAATGTGATCGCCTATATTCATTCAAGATGTAGAGCTACATAACTCCTCTCTAATTAAAAAAAAAACCAAAAAAAACCCACACTCAAAACAAACCAAAAAATCCCCGAACAAATTAACCTTGAATAGCTTTAGACCTTCTTACCATATCATGTACATAAAATAAATATCTCTTAACTCTTATAAACTAAATTGATGTTTTATAAACATCCATTAGGATGGACCATATGAGTGATTTTAAAAATAAGAAAATGTAAATAAATTTCTTCTTCCTTAGCAATGCATTGGAAAACAAACCAATGATCAGCTATATAAAAAGGAAATTAATTGAACATCCTATAAACCAAGTTTAGAAACATGTAGCATATAATTAATATTAAAAAATCTTTTATGTAGGAGTAAGATGTATAATCTATATAATTACTGTAGCATAAAATCTCTTACATACATATTTTATAGCTACATTAGATTATTTTCCTTCAGCATTTAGATTCCACTTGTTCCTGCATTTCCATTGCTTTACTTAAAGAAATATGTCCATCTTTTTTTCCTGCAATCATGCTGGAACTGCTTCTAACCTTGCTGATATATTTGGAGAGGGCAATCCAGACATATTGCATCATACACTAAAAACACTAAAGAATAATCAGTCTGAAATGACTTTCTTAATTCTTCTCTCTAGCTTTTACAGTGCTCATGTATGTGTCTTTTTTTACTTATTCTACAGCAAGTATTCCTTTAAGGGAAAAAACAATCCTAATTACCAGACCGTGCTAATGGAATATGAGACTCCTAATACAGAATTAATGTCTAAAGCAGTTGACAAGATGCCAGATACAATAAAAGGCAGCAATTAAAAAAAAGTCACATTTTTAGATGATAACACCCCTAGACCATTAGTTTTAAGTATGGAACAACTTCCCATTTAGACACACAGCTGATTTTAGCATATTACAGAATGCACTACATTTAGCATGGCTCTAATGTCGCTATGGTAACTGTTCTGGCTTAAATATAGCTAAATGTGTAGCTTCATTCCAAATTTTCCAATAATCCTTTAAACATTTCTTACAAAACTCCCCACAGCTTCTCCAGACTTTAATCAGTGATCCTATACTAATCCTGCACTGGTATCACTGATGCCAGTACTGTTCATAGTACCTTCACCCATGACATAGAGAGTGGGATAAAGTGCAAGTTTGCTGATGACACCAAAATGTGTGGTATATTGACACACCTGAGGAATAGGATGCCATCCAGAGGTGTGGAGTACCCCCACTCAAAATGGCAAGGATTTGGTTTTAGATAAGTAGTGTTTAACTGAGAGGTGCAGCTTTAAGTCTAGGGAACAGTGGATTCCAGCCCTCTGCCTCTGGGCATGTGCCCTGTAAGCCTGGGAAAAGTTGCTGCACACCCAAAATCCCTCATGGGGTTTCAGCCCGCCCAAGTTCTGCCTTTCTTGTGCTGCAATTCGTTGTATTCTGCATTAACCCCTCCTATTGTATCCATATTAATTTGTGCCCCTGGGGCTTCTCCCTTGCAGTGACCAAAACCCAAAAGCCTGCCTTGGTTTGGGGTTCTCCAACTCTGGATTAAGCTGAGTTGGTTCCTGTGTTGGTGACACCCCAAAAAATGGGTTCCTGGGTTTAACAAAGTGAGGACCCATCTTGTTCATTTCCATGTCAATCACTGGGGGCTGTAACCTCCCTTCTGTGCAGCAGAATGTAACACAGAAGTACCAGGACAAGCTTGAAAAGTGGACCCATGGAAAACTCACAAGGGTCAAAAAAGCCAAGTGTAAAGTGCTGCACCTGGGTCAGGACAACCCCTCATATCAATCCAAGCTGGGGGATGAACAGATTGAGAGCAGCCCTGCCAAGAAGGACTTGAGGGTGCTGGTGGGTGGACTGCATCAAAAGCACCATAGCCAGAAGGGCAATGAAGGGGATTTTGACCCTCTGCTTTCCTCTGCTCTGCTCTGGTGAGACCCCACCTAGAGTTCTACATCCAGCTCTGTGTCTCAGCACAGGAAAGACCTGTTCAACCGAGTACAGACGAGGGCCACAGAAATGATAAGGCTTGAACACCTCTCATATGAGAAAAGGCTGAGAGAATTGTGGATGCTCAGCCTGGAAAGGGAAGGCTCTGTGGAGATTTCATTTCAGCCTTTCAGTACTTAAAAGAGGCTTATAATAAAGAGAGGAAGAGATTATTTTAGCAGAACCTGATTTGATAGGACGAAGAGTAATGATTTTAACGAGTAGATTTAGACTACATATAAAGAAGACATTTTTTGACAGTGAGGGTGGAGAAACACTGGAAACACTGGTTGCCCTGAGAGGTGGTGAGTGCCCATCCCCAGAAACATTCAAGGTCAGGACTGAGCAACCTATGGTCCAGTTAAAGATGTCCTTGCTCATATTAGAGGGGTATTACTAAATGATCTTTTAAGGTTGCTTCCAACCCAAATTATAATATTATCCAATATTATTGTTGCTAATTTATTGTGAACACACAAATAATACAGGTTTTAGTGATCAGTGCTAGATAATGATCTCTAGCATACCACAGAAAGCAAAAAAAAATGTTGATATTGAATTCTAGAAGAAATAAAATTCTTATTATATCTCTGTTCCAACGTAAAGCTGATCAGTATTGCATGAGATCAATGCAGAAAGTTTCCAATGCCTTCTGCTCGTACTCTTCATCAGTTACCAGAAATCAAAAGCACAAGTATGTTGTAAAGTGTCTAGTAGAGTCTCTAACACAAAATCAAATGGACATATTTTTATGTTCTGTAGCAAAATTGCTTTAGTTCTTCCTTGTCAAGATTTCAGCTTCTGACCCTTAGAAGTCCTAAGAAGAGAACTTTGTCATTGATGATTGTTGTGCATGTCTGTGCATGAGTGAGAGGCAAGGGGGTACTTAGACTGTGTACCTCAGACAGACATGAGCGCTTAATTTGATATCAAGCTGCTTCACTGACTGCCATGACACAACTTTTGCTCATGTGGAAATGTTAGAGGGTAATCTTGTGATGATGCCTTTTCCTGGTCTTAAAAAGCTGAGAGTCAGACATGGTTAAGGGATAAAGGGTTTTTAGCTTGGTATTTAATAAGGATCCTTATGGCATGCCATTTCACCAAGGTGGAATGCACACACACAATATGCACACATGTATACAATTTATAGACCATACAAATTAGCATCTCTAATAAGGATGCCCCAATGGGAGGCCTGGATGAATGGTGTGCTATTCCCCCATGTGAGGAATTCCCCCTTGGATGGGTCAAATCTCTACAGGATATGTTCTAGAGAGGACCTTCGTTTCCCAAAATAGCTTAGGGCCCTCCAGGCTCCTACAGTGAAGCCTTTAGGATGTTTGGTCTCCTGGCCTCACAGAATACTAGGGCTATGCTAAGTTATCAGACTTAAGGAATTACAAATTCACATACTAAGAATACTGAGGATACATAAAAGTTATATAAGGTATATAAAAGAAAAGGCAAAAAAATCATCTTGGCAGCAGTTACATAGATCTACATGTCTTTAAACCAAAGGTTTTTACATAGTTGCCAAGTATTGTTACCCCACATTTTTATTGATAGATTTTATTGACAGGTTTTCAAAAGATCAAATGCTAGCTAGAACCTCACAATAATTAATATATTGCACTGTCTAGCCTGTTATGACATTAAAATAACACTGGGATTGCTTCCTATCTCTAGAAAGGCATTCTGAAGATAATAACTATCAGTTATCTGTGAGAAGGTCTACATTTTTCTAGGCTAAATTTTATAGCAATGGTGCGTATGTCAAGCACAGGACATTCTCAGAGATGGAAAGGATGAAAAACCTGCATATGTAGGCTGCAAAGAAATCATAACACAAACTGTTCCACAATTTAATCCATTCCCACAGGCAGAACTACCATCTTTTACTTAGGGCAGAGAATGTAGATTAAGTATTACAATTACTAATCCCTAATATTACTAAGCAAACAGTTTTAATATCAGCTAACATCAGATAGTAATGCTTGCATACATGTGTACATGTAGTAAGACTGAATCACTGCCTATTTAGAATAAGATGTCATCTATTAGCTGTCTATATTTTCCTTTCTTACTCAGGCTGACTTTTGCTCACTACTTTCATTGCTGAAATACAATACCATAATAAGTCATTCAAGACAACATCAGAAAAAGTTCTTATACCAAGTTCAAATATGTAACATTAATTAAATGCTCACTGATAAGATACCATACAAATATAACTCTGGTAAATGGAGGAAAATAAGAGGAAGGACAAAGATGTGGAAAGAAACAGAAGCAAACTAGATTTTTTCCCATTCTGAAAGGTGAAAAGGACCAAAAAACACAGAAAAAAATGGTCATTACTATCAGGTAGAAAATATCTTAAATATCCTCTGATGTCTTTTCAGATAGGCACCAAAAAAAGAAAAACAGGAAGTGAGATCTTTGCAAGATCTCTGACTTACCATATTGATGGTGCTTCTGTTCCACTGATCTCTAGGAAGTCATATCCTTCCTCTAACTGGAAGTCAGTAAAGACCAAAGCAATGGTGTCTCCTGGTTCAGCCAATATGGTCCAGGTGCAATCAGCATTATTCTCATACTCAGAAGGGAAGTGTGGACTTGAAATAGTTCCACTTGTCCCACGTAGTGTCCCTCCACAAGCTCCTTCAGCTGATGAACAGAATATCAATTACTAATGAAGCTTCACTTCAAACAAGTGAATCACCATCCTTGTTTCTGCCTTAGCAAATCCAGCTCTTCTCTACCCACTGAGGACCCTTAAGTATATGCACACACAGAAACAAAATATTATCCAAGCAAATGGAATGGAGTATTGTCTGGCCTTTAAGCAGCAGAGGCTTTTGGTTAGGGTTTTCTGACTTTTTTTCCTTGTTGGTGTCACTTCAGGACCAGGCCAAAAAAGAATGAAGGTTAGCAGGGACACCTATTATAAGCTGATTTGGAGAACCTGGCTCTGCAAATGCACAGAAGAAGCCTAAAAAAGAACTGGGCACAAAATCACATAAAAACATTTAGACTCTTTGTGATACAAATCTAAAAATACTGAACAATTATTTTCTTTCACTTATTCTTATAACAAAAAAAAAAAAAAAAAAAAAAAAAAAAACCAACAAAAAAACCCTGAAAAAAATATTCTTATAGGTTTAAATGCTGTCCTAAACTAGGAAGCATTAATAACATCATAGTAACCTTTCTGGGTTTTTTTTCCTTTGTTCTGAATCAGAATGTTTACAGATGACAAATTCAGAAGGTTTTGTTGACAGATGGACCTTCCAAGGTTCATGCATCATCAGTTAAAAATATATTTTTAATGATAATTACCAACTTTTTAAAATTAAAGGCATAGGAATTTTCTCCTATGTCTTGGATGTTATTTAATATTTTGCCAAAAGATTTAGCAAATGTCTTGTATTTTCCTTGGTCAGTAAGATTTCATTGAAAGCTTTAAAAACTTTCTGATTACAAGCAGTATTTGATATTAAAACATATAATTAAAAACCCACAAGAAAATATGTCATCCATACAATTCATTGACATAAAAAATAAAAAATTCATCAGGTGGTTTTGATATAGTGACTATGAAAGCCAAAGCAATAGTAATTAAAAATATTTCTGCATAGAAGGATCAGAAGAGAAGCACTTTATTTTTATCTGTTTTGTCATCTTTACTTACTCCTACTATCATTAGGTATTATTGGCATACTGTAAGTGCATATGGAGATTCACAAACACACAGGTTGGCAAGATTCATAACACAAGGAACTTATAGTCTAATTAGGATAATAACTGAATAGCTAATTAAGACAACAGAAAGGGGTAGGAGTAGAGCTGCTCTTCTCAATCATAATTGAAAGCCTGTCAACGAAAATGTGTTTTAAAGGAGAATTTGAAGGAAAAAGGATTTATAAATCAAAGGAAGAAGAATACTGGATCTGGACATTAAAAAAAGGAGACTATTAAAAGGGGCTAAATAGCCAATAAGTGACTGAAATAAAAGGAAAATTTGCAAGTGAGGCAGAAACCAAATAATTTCTTTAATGCTTAAGTAATGTATAGAGCATTAATTTGACTAAAAAGAGGAAAGCTGATGAATGATTCAAACAGGTACCTATATTTATGTTTCTACATGCAAAATAAATTTTGACATAAACAAATGTGACATAACCTTGGCTACCAAAGTCTTATTGATTTAATTTCTTGGCACAGAAATTTTTCAGAGAAGATCATGTCTTCTCAATAAATTTCATATCTTACTTTCTAGATCCTGATATTTATGTATTTTTTCTTTTTGAAAATGAAGGAATAGAGCTAGAATAGATTGACTTTCTTAAAAGATTTCTTTTTGTTGGTGAGATTTCTTCCTCAATTTCTGGCTTTTTATACTGTGCATATTGAAATGACCATTGTGCCTCTGAGGAATGAAAGAGGGAAAGGAAGTGAAAATTAAAGAACCACGGATAAAGCTGAGAATCCAGTAAAATTTTCTGGTGCATAATACATTCAAAGACTAAAATAATTTGAAAAGTACTGTATATCTGTAATAAATCAGAAAGGAGAATTAAGATTTGTTACTTAATGATATCTAAAATGACTCTTTTTTTCCAGTGTTTTTGTATGTGTGTGTCTGTGTGTGTTTTGTTGGGTTTTTTTTGTTGTTGCTGCAGTTTTGCTTTTTTCATTTTTTTTAAATAACTTTCTAGCACTTCATTACAGATCATCATCCAATGCAGAAAAGAAAAACAAGTTAACTTCATACATCTTGTTCCTACACTTTTAAGTTTCAGTTTTGAACACATAACAGTTCCACCTGTATTCTTGAAAGCCAGCAAGCAGACTTTTCCCATGCAGGGTAACCAGCAAGATGAGCAAAATCCTAAGTCAGCCATATCTCTTTGGTATTAGCTGCTGCTGTTAAATTTTGTTATGACAGCATCCTCAATTATATCATCTCCCACTGTGTTTATACTGACATCAAGTAACATACTAGTGGTAAATACTATACTCCTCACTGTTCCTACTACACAGCTCTTGAATAATCTTTGGGCTCTAAAGCTCAGAATTTTACAGCTGAAATGTAGTTTATTATTACTGGCAAGCACATGCAAAAAATCTAAATTTATACACTGTGCATTACCAGTGAGAGCTAAAGGAACTCAGACTACTACAGCTGTCTGCCCAAAGGGATGCATAGCCCTTTAATCTATTCACAACACCATTCTGAAGGGATTTGCAAGAAGTCAAGCTAACACAGAAACGGAAAGAGAACATTAGTCAGCTAGGTAAGACCACAGAAAGCAGCCTGAACCAGAGAATATTTTCTCTCTGACATATGTGGATATGCTTTGGGAATTTCCTTCATCACAAGTGGCACACAGGCTAAGGCAAGCAGACTGTTGAATAGTAAAGCATAATGCATTGCTTAAGTGAGTGCAGGCAAGCAGGATGTGGCTGCACTGCTCAGAGGGTAGGGCAGAAACTGTCTTACACAGCTGTCCCAGAGAGAGTTTGCCTTCTTGGACTGATCATCATTTTTGGCCATGGCCTTCTTTATGTCATGGTTTTGAGAAAGATAGTTTGAGCTAGTTAGTGCTCAGGAATCTTAGTGCATCACTATGCTCTCAGTAATTTGATAGCAGAAAGTGCCTGAGGCTTCATGAATTCAAACTCTACACGATTTACAAACTGCATTTTAAAATCTGCAAGTAATTAATTCCAAACACTTATGGTTATTTTCAAATTGTAAGCAACTGCACAAAGTGCTGTTTGTATCAGCATAAATGACTACTTGAAGTATAAAGCTACAAACATTTGGATCTCTCAGTAGTCAGGAATTAAGTGCTCTGAATTTAGAGAAAATGCATCTCATATAAAGTACACATACAAAAACATATGGCTGGCACCACTTGACAAAAAACATGTATACTGTATAGATGTGTAGCTTAGATAAAACAGATAAACATATCCATCAAATTTATGCATGCAAAAAATTAAAAGTACCACTATGGAAGTCAGTGAAAAACCTTTCATTTTACTTCAAGCTAGAAAGAGTAATTCCACCAAAAATAATAATCTGACAGTTTTAGTAAGCTGTGTTTTGCATAAATGAATCTTGCTACAAGTGAGATGCAAGCCTTGATGAGCAGATAGCCAAGGATGAAGTAAGAGCAAAACAAGTATCTTAGAAAACTTCCTTTGAATTGGTTTAGGTATCTTTTGAACACTCAGTCATTTTTACAGGACTTACCTCTCCTCACCACATAAATGCTTTCCAGAGTGCAATGTTCTGTATTCTATATGGCCTTTTTTTAGAATACTACATAATAAAATGTTTAGGGGAAAAAAAAATATTTATTGCATTATAAAAACAAAACAAAGCAAAAACCCCTAATACTAACCTAACCATCAAAAATTTACTTAGAATATTTCAGAATTAATTTAGAATTTGAATTTACATATTTGAATTGGCTTTTCCACTTGAAGTTTATATTTAAAGTTCTTCATGTGATAAATCACATTACTACACTACTCTTGGAGCATAAGTAATGAAAACATTTTATGTTGTGATTTAAAGTACAAAATTCACAGTAATAAAGTTTTTTCTTATGTAATTAGTAGTCATTTCCTTATCTATCACTAGCAATTGCATAGGTGCAATTAAAAACGAGTGATATTTTATGAATCGTCATCAAATTACATATTGTCAATTTGAGTCACATTTTATAAGTCTTATCAATTAAAGAAAATTTCAGCTTTAGAGGGTTCCAAATGAACCATAGGCCTAAATTATTTAGCAAGCTTTATTAAAAGCTTCTCTGAAATAGTTATTTCTTTATCGAGGCTGGAGAGCACATCCACGTAGAGAGATCTGGGGCCCTGGGCTGATGGCAAGTTGAACGTGAGCCAGCAGTGTCCTGGCAGCCAGGAGGGACAAGCCTGTCCTGGGGCCATCAGGCCCAGCATGGCCAGCCAGGCAAGGGGGACTGTCCCTTTCTTTATAGCTCTGGAATGTCCCCACCTCAGGTACAGTGTGCAGTTCTGGATGTCTCAATATATGAAGGACATCAAATGATCAGTGCGTGCAGAGGAGATCTTGAGTGCAACACTCAGGAGGTGTGGCTGAGGTCCCTTGGCTTGTTCAGCCTGGGGTACGAGGAGTTTGGTAACAGCTTTTTCAAAACAGGACTTCAAAATTATAATTTTAAAGTGTCTTACTGACAACAACATAAAAACAAGCTGTAGTATACCAATGAAAAGTTTAAAAATAAATTTTAGCATGTCATTGGCAACTGTCAAGCTGCTAAACTGCAGCTTTAGAACGACCAAACACATCACAAAGTGTTACAATGGTGTAGCATTATGCATTCATCTGATAGCTCATTCATCTAATTTAATTCCAACAGGCAGACAGCTATTTAACCATCAAAATATACAGCTCTACTTCCTTATCTTCTTTACTATTTTAGGTTTTTACAGACTTATTTTGAATAGGTAAAAGCAAATACTCCTGCTTCTTTTCTGTGTTATAAAAATAGGAACTTTCTAGAACTTGCTTGGGTTTTATTCTGCCATCACTTGAATCCAGATGTATTGAATCTCAGCTAAGTGCTCTAATCAGTTTGCCTCCCTTTCTCAATTTCTTCTCTAGCTGT